ACGTTGCTTAACTGAGAACGACGCCGGGGTGAGAGTTTGACGGCGAGTTAACAATGAGGGCTGGTTTGGTTAATTACTACGTTATTATTATTTTAGACGGTATCGTTTAATACGATGCCGCGGAGAAGTAAAACGACACCGTTTAAGGCATCAACAACGCCGCAGTATTACTAAGCGATACCGTTTAGTTAGAAACCATACCACAACGGGTTGGATTTTGGCAAGGCCCGACAAGCCAAACGGCACCGCAAGACGAGAAAACAGTACCGCTGGGTAGATAACAATGACGCGAGGGATATCAACAGCACCGCGACACTAAGTAAACGAAGGTGGTCAGTTAAAAACAGTGTTGCAAGAACATACCAGTGCCGCTAAGTGAACAAACGACGTTGTTTAGCTCCAAACAACGTTGCGAATCCCACATCGAGGAGTTGGGTCCAATGCTCAGAGACTCAAGAACACCACAGAATCAAGATTATTCATGCCGCAAGACCGCGAGCTCAACGGGATCGGGAATCAAATGTTGCTGCAAGCGCGGCCTGGTAAGTAACAACATTGCTTGCTCTAACCTAGATTGATTAAGGTCAGGCCGTGTTTGAACATGGTTGATCACGGAGCTAGTCGTTTGTGAGGCAAAGCAGTGAGTTCAATGATGTCAAGAAGCGGCATTGTTTCAATTCGATGACAAGCAGGCTAGTGATCAAGCATTGTTGAAGTCCTAGCTAAATAATGTCGTGATTCGGACAAGGGAGCAACATCACTGGTGTCGTTATGTATTTGACAATGCCGCAAATCCAACGTTTCTGCTTGGACGAGAAACGACGTTGTTTAGTGGAGAGCAACGTTGCTAGGGTTGAGATCGCTGGGAAATTTATTCCCCACAACGACGACGTTGTCGAGACAAGAGACTCTCATGCTCAGATTTTAGAAAGTGAAGCGGTGTTGTTTATGGTACGCCGCCGTATTATGAACAAGGATGAATGTAGTTTGGCTTGAGGAGTTGGGGGTGGATTATCGAACCCGGGTGGATAATTACAAGGGTGGCTCAATGTCGTTTTGTCGAGTTGCTGCTCAGCAAAGCGGTTTCGCACTCGTGGGAGTTACGCAACAAGGAGGAAGTTACCTGCACGGTTGACAGGAGTGAAGACGTGGGCGACAAAGGCGCGAAGGCAGTTACGGCGACGAGAAGAAGCGCGAAGTATAAAGATTGGGAAGAGAGAGAAGTTCAGGACGGCAAAATCAAATCACAACTGCACCATTGCAGAATTATCCTTTTTCTCTCTAGTTTCGTAGAACCGCTCTGTCAAAGAACTCCTTTGCAGAGTCGTAGATCGTAGCTTGTAGTCGTAGTCGCGGAGCTCTCCAGAGGAACCTCCATAGGAGTAGAGGTAACGTAACTTAGAACACTCCTGGTTCGATTTTCTGTTTATTCGAACACCCTCGTTCGAACGTAGTTTGGAGAGGTGTTGAACCGAATAACAGTTGTTTGATTAGAAGTCAAAGGTGTATCGATCAAATCAACGACGCCGAAACCGGCGGCGGCCATTTGACGATCGTCTTTGTTTCTGTTTTAATCGATCAAATCAACGGCGCCGACACCGGCGGCGGATATTTGACGATTTTTTGCTGATTTTGTGTTTGTGTTTACTTGAAACCAGTGCACATTGAACACGCGAGTTTCGCCAACGAAACAGTTCCATCAAAAGCTATGAACGTGGCCTGCTCTGCTATGTAATACTTTCGATCAGAAACAAAATGGCTAGCTTAATTTGCACGCTAGTCCCTCAGGTCAACTAATCAGCAGCTCGCTAGCTTCGTGTGTATATATATATATATATATATATAGATAGTTAGTAAATATTCCGTTTAATATACGTATATATACTCGTACATACTTTATAAGTAAAACTTTCGTATTCGTATTATTGTTAAGTCGTTTCATTTTTCCCCGTTCATTTGATGGCTCCCGTACTAAACACGTATAGAACCCGTATAACAGGTTTATTATCCGTATTTTACGAATTAAATTGTTAACTTTAATATTTTTTATAAATTTATTTATTTTTAAAATGATTAGTTTGATATATTTATGACTATTAACATACTATTAAACGTAACTTTATCTTAAAGACGAAGTATCATACCCGCACATATATTTTACGTAACTTTTTCATACCGTATTTTACTAACTATCTAAAACTATATACCACGCACTGACCACAAAACTATTGCAAGTAATCCTGATTAAGCGAGGATTACTTGTTTTAACTTGTAATACAATACCAGCTGAGACAAAACAAGAAAGATCGATCTAATATACCAAGATGGTAAGATACTAAGATATCAGAATTACATCAGATGACTAGTATATATATATTCAAACTCAATTAATGCATGCATTTGCTGATATGGTGATTTTTTCGATGCACTCAAAAAATTGAGTGCATAGAATGCACATCATTGTAAAAATAGTCTTTAGACATTGAATTTTGGAATTGCATTGATAGAATTAGTATAATATGATGATATGATATAGGATTACAACTAAGCGACGCAATATACTAAGTCCTAAACCTTCAATTTTGAACTCTAACCTAAAATCCCAAATTTGTGAACCCTGAATCCTAACCCTAAATCTCTAAACCCTAAGTCCTTCAAATCAAAGTAAATCTAGAATGATTTTTTGTATAAATTCATGAATTTTCTTGTCTATCATATCAAATGTGTCGATTGAGATCAGATTGACATGAATCATGAAGCGAGTCTATACAATATATCAAAACATTGAGTGCACGGATAACAAAAACCTTGCTAATATATATCCCTGCCAATTAATTGCGTACCATGATCAGATCCGATGACTAATTATAGAAAGAAACAAATCATAAGACTTAACCATTTATTAATATACAAAACAATTTATAACTATAATCCATCACCCGTCCATGCACCCAGCACAGCAGCAGTAAGTAATATATTACTGCTTCACTTGATGTCCTTTTTCCCCGTTTTAATTATTTGGTACCTGTTTCTGTCATTTCACATGTGCTGATTCTATACAAAATGTTTAGTTTGATGTTCAGTCACCTCCTCCTCTCTCGCTTTCTGGCAACCAACCAACTGAAACTTAATAATCTATATGATACAGACTACTAAGGGCAATCCGCAGAGGATGCTTTTTTACCCTTTTCACGTGATGTTCAACATACATATTACATAATAATAATAATAATAAGCATAATAATTTACTACACCAGAATGAGAAGAGGAAAAAACAGTGACTAAAAATGTATTGATGATGATGATGGATGGATGGGATCCATGGTTGTCACGCCGGCCGGCGTGCCACTGGTTGAACATGGTTCAACCTGTACCGGTCATAAAACCGGCATGACACCACCGGTATGACCGGCATGATCGATATACGAATCTCCAAATAAAATGATCTTATCTTAGTGAATTTAATTGATAAAAAGTAATTTATTATTTATTTTATGTGTTAAAAAGTTAAATGTTGATGTTATTTGTTGGATTCAAGTACAAATATTTAGGTATTGACGTTAAATGTCGTGTTTAAATATGAGAATTTATAAATTATTTATAATATTAACCGGCATGAACCGGCACAAACCGGTATGTACCACCGGTTGAACCATTCCACTTGCTAAACCGGCACACTGGCATAAACCGGTTTGACAACCTTGATGGGATCTATTCGGCAAGGCACTAGTCAAATTGCATCACTCAAATTTAGCATATAATAATTTTGATTGATATGCACATTAATGACACTGTCGGCCAGTTTAATTTTCCTGAATGAAACAATGAAATGACACCACCGCCCAAAAACAGATACCAATCTTCAATCCCATAAATATGTATGTTTTGACAAGACACCCCTCTTCCCTTCCCTTCACCCATTCATAATTCCGTATACAATTATAGAGAAGGATGGAAGGAACTAAGAGCAGTAAGCAGAAGGTTAATTGCGTTGTCAAAACTTGAAATCTAATTAGGAACAACTTTGTATTATACATACATAGCTGCAGAAAGTATATATATCATCATGCAGTAGTTGCATATGTTACAAGAAGGATTGACAAGCAATGAATTAGCATTTACAGTTGCGACAAACACAAAACTGGGCATAGTGGAATTGGGGGCATCTACTACTGCTAGCAGAACAGTGTATATCTGACATACATAGATCACATCACGCACACTCATTATTATTGTTGTATATATATGTAATGTCTTTCAACCCTCCCTCTTCTAACGCTTTCCCTCACTACCATGCCTCCACCCACGGTAAAAACAATCAAATCCAGAATCAAGAAGAAGAAAGAAAATGTATTTTTTTTTTTTTTTACTGCCTTCCTTTCAACAGTCTTAGACAAGCTAAGGAAGTACAAATAAATAGTAATATGCGCGTTAGACAGCATACAAACAGAGGGAGCCGGGAGGGGGAGAACCACAATGAAAACTGTAATTATCCAGTGCAAATATATTACTACTAATAATAATAATAATCAACAAACTAATTAGCTGGAAAGAGCTCATAATTCCAGAGGACGAGACAGGAGACATGAGGGGGGAACTCTAGGAAACGTTTTCCCAAATCTAAACCATATGACATATAAATAAACTTGATCATAATTAGTTAATACAGGAAAAAAGGATATTAGTATACACATTAATTAACGTAATCATAGATAGAGCAGATAGATTTCTGGTTTTAGAGCCTAGCTACTCGACTTTTGCCCTGGTTTCTAGTACGCAGTCGTAGCGGTAAGTGAATACCACCAACGATCACACTGCTAGTATCAAAACGATTACAGCCAAACAAAAAAAAAAACAAAAAAAAAATGTAAATAATAAACAGCAGACTGGAAACCCTAATCAGCATGCGGCTACACTGAGAGATTAATTAATACATACCACCAAGATCTTCAATCTAACCCTTCCTGCGCGCCTTCCCAGAGAATCAATCTTTCGATCTCTCAAACAGGTACAATTTTTTTGATTATTATCACCAACATTACGAGCGGTGGTAATATATATATATGTAACAAACCATTCTGAACTAAGTTGCACCAGGTGGATGATGAGCAGAAGGATACGTTTGCATCACATGAATAACGTTTCAGTGGTGGTGGTGCTGCTGCGGCGGCGGCGGCGGAAGTTGCGGCGGCAAATGCGGGTGGTGTTGGGCGGGGGGGCGCTTGCGCTTCTTCTTCTCGTAGCTGACCCCTCTGGCCTTGGACTGGTGGTCGCGGACCTCCCTGAGGTAGAGCCTGACGGCGCGGGCACCGAAGGGGTTGGACTCGGGCTTGCCGCCGTTCTCCTCGAAGGCGGCGCGGAGGCGGCCGATGAGGGCGTCGAGGGATCCCCACGCCTGGCGGAGAGGGCAGGGGCAGGGCGCCGGCGGGGTGGGGTGGCCGTAGAAGGGGCAGATAGGGGTGTGGACTTTGGTCTTCCCGAACTGGTCCAGGTACCGGAGGAACTCCAGCACGTGGGCGCCGCTGCACCGGGGGAGGGAGAGCGGCGGGCGGTGGTTGCGTAGGTACTGCCCGAACGTGTTCCAGTCCCTCCTCTTCTGGTTCTCGTACCTGCTCAGCTGCACTCCCGCCGGGGGCGACGACGGGGCGGTGGCGGTGGTGGTGATTGGTGTGCCGCCGCCCGGCGGCGGTGGTGGTTGTTGTTGTTGGTGGTGGTGGGTTATAGCGTTGAATATGATTCCCATACGGTGGTGGTTGGCGGAGGAGGAGGAGGAGGAGGCGTCCATGTCGGATGGAGAGTGGTGGTGGTGGGAGAGGGAGTCCATTGATGAAGTGATGAGCTTAAAGGAAGGGAAAGGGAAAGGTGGAGAGGAAATGAAGAGAGGAGAGGAGAGGAGTTAAGAAGATATAACAATAATTGGTACCATACCAGAAAGAAGGAAAGGAAGCATTGATGGTTAAGTTTCAGAAGTTGTGTACGAATTAGCTAGGAACAGGGTTTCAACTTAGGAGGAGAAGAAGAAAGTTGGGAGGGGGGGAAAAAAAGTAGTAGTAAATTTTCTTCATAGCCTAGCTAGGCTAAGCTATAATGGCTAGGATGAGGTAGAGTTTGAAGAAGTAGTAGTAGTAGTACTGTTGATGGGGAAGGGTCCCGGGCCGACCGTGGAATGAGGAAATGAATCGCCGCGCAACTGTTCACAGAATTTCCAGGTTTTCGGGGAGAGGAGGGAAGGGCTAGCTAGGTTGTGATAAAGTAAAGCAAGAACAAGGCAGCGAGGAAGACGAAGAAGAGGGAAAGAGTGGAGGAGGGGACTGGGCTGGGCTGGGCCTGGGCTGGTGGATCCTTCTTTTTTTGGGTTTTGAGATGTTACTCTGTTTGAGCAAATACTATGATAAAAAAAAGTATAATAGAAGGTTGATAAGAAGTTCCGAATTAATAATAAAATAAATAAAAAGATGTGAGAGGAGGGGCCTGGTTTAGAAATGGACAGACAGGGGTAGTAGGTAGGGATGGTAGGCAGTAGGCTATAGGTCGCAATGCGACAGAAAATCAAAACCCCTGTGTTTTTCCTCCCCCTCTCCTCTCCTCTCCGAACAGCTAAGCTACGTTGAGGGTGGACGGACAGACGGATGAGATAAAAAATGGATGCCAGACCGCCGTTAGGGGTGAAAATTTAGGCCAGTCCTTCTTCCTTCACACGTGACGTGAGCTTTCTTATTCCATTGACCACACGGACGTACGTAAGAGTAAATTTCATGACTCTGTGCGTGCTGTGCTGTGCTGTGCTGTGCTGCTGATGATACAAACAAACAAACAAACAACAAACAAAATCTAATCAAAACTGGACTGCTCACTTTGATTTTCCTTCACATTCTACTATGATTATTAATTAGTGTGTATTTTTCCGTAGTTTGAAAAGTTGCGTTTAATCTTGCGTCTGTGCACGTTGACGCATTAAAATATTTTGTCTAGGATTCCATACATCAGGTTAGCTACCGAGAATACGTCGACGGAGTAAGGCGACAGCTAGCTGCAGGTATCACCTAGCTATGTATAATTAGATGAAATTAGAAAGTCAATATTATTAAAGGAGGGATTAACATCCTCTATGATACCAATTTTCTAACTCAAATTTTTCAATATCTCAATAACTTTGTGAGGTATATATTGAGCTGTGATTCTATCAACTTGTGAGCTTTTTTTTTTTTTTTTGTTAACCGTTGCTAAACAAAACACCAACACCATCCTTATGTCTAACATCTTCTTCAACCTTGGTAAGTACTTTGTGGAAAAAAAATCACATAGAACGGATGTCTTAAACTCTTAATTACAGTTGTGTTTTTATTTTATTTTTTGTGGATGACTAGGTGTTTGGATGAACCTTCAGTATTGGCTGCTCAATTCCTATGTTATGGAGATGGAGCTAAGCATATTTCGCTTTTTGGAGACTGTCTTGTTCATATATACTCCACTCCACCAGGTTCTATAGTAGCTGAAGGACCTGCCTGCCACTATGAATATAAATCTTGCTATTTGGGTCCTCCATAGATTTGTGCCCTTCTTTGACTTTGTCTCTTGTCCAACCGTTGCCACTCTGAACAATCTTAACTAGGAAGCAGATGGCGCAACGTCCCTTGTTAACATTATTCAATAGTGAAAAGATGATCATTTCTTAAATCATTTCAGGACTTAGTTTTCATGTCCTTTTCATGAAAGAAATTTGACAAATAGTTCCCTTCTCTGCAATGCATTTAAGTTATGTCTTTTTTTTTTTTTTCTTGCTGCACGTACGTATGTATATTCAATTTGGGCTGTGGCTGCGTCTCAACTGTTTGGCAGCCATACACACCTCTAAAACAAAATCCAATTTGAACTTTTTTTTTTTTACAGAAAGCTTTGTATCATTTCCCAAAATGAGCGGTTGCAATTGCACATAATACATAAGTAGCGGTGACATAATGTTAAGTAGTACTGTAATCCAGCTATGAGGAAGTTCGCTCCGTGCAAGTGAGCAAGCAACCAATCTATCATAGCATTCCGCTTTTTACATTTTTTGTTATACCGTTTCTGATCTACTTTGCAGATTTTATGGTGTGATTTATCACAATGTAAAAATACTATTTTTTACGTCAAGATGATGAAATCGACCTCTTCTATAAGATATACATGGATTTATAACTTTTTTTTTTTTTCTTACTAAACATACTTGTGCCTCATGACCTTGTCAAAATGGATTCGTTTAAGAGCTTGAGTAACTTAATTTTTTAAAATGAAAAGCGTGTCCTTCCCCTAGAATCAATATTAAATTATGGTCAACTCCACATAGAAAGTCAGCAAATAGGGTTAATTGGATGGTTGGTCACTGAGATTACAAAAAATGTTCATGTTTGGTCACTCAAAATATTTAAATTCATTCGTGGTCACTAGATTAAGTAAAACATCACATGTTTGGTCACTCTTCGTTACCTTCCGTTAGTCTCCGCTAACAACATTAGTTTTTTGCTGACGTGGCTAATAGAAATGCCAAGTCACCCAATTTTTATATAAAAAAATTTAAATTCAACCCGCCACGTCATTAAAAATTGCCACATCATATTTTTTATGAATGAGAAATTGCCACATCAAATATAGGGTTGTTAATGAGCCGAATCGAGCCGAGTTTTGCCATAGTTCGGGCTTGGCTCGTTAATATATTTCCAGGTTCGAGGTCAGCTCGTGTTCGTCACGAGCTTTAATATGCAAGCTCGAGCTCGGCTCGTTTATGAAAATGAAAGCTCGAGCTCGGCTCGACGAATAAGCTTAACGAGTCTAAAATCGAGTTCAGCTCATAAAATTTTCATGATAGCTCAAGATTGACCTAGAACTGCGCACAAAATTACATTCAAACCTGCAGCAAAGTCTAGCAAAGTAAACACAATATTTATCCCAATTTCAATACATAAAATCCATGAATTCTAATCCTTGTTTTATGGCAAACCATTAAATGAGCTTGTTCGCGAGCTTTCGAGCTGAGCATGGTATGGCTCGAGTTCGGCTCGTTTAGTTAACGAGCTTGTTCGCGAGCCGACTCGATTAAAACAAATCGAGTGTCGAACGAGTTTTTCTCGAGTTGCACACCGAGCCATTCATGAGCGGCTTGGTTTATTAACAGCCCTAATCATATACCACAACCTAACCCATTAACCAACCTTTGGCTCAACCCTCTCTCTCTCCCTATCTATTTGTCTTTCGTCTTCCGTCTTCCCCCTCGCAAAACTCCTCTTCCGGACAGCAGCTCACGATCCGCCCATTGACGATGGATCCAGCTTCATTTTTTTGGAAACCCACCGTCTTTGTCAGTGGTATCCTCCCCAAGAACTTCAACAATAACCCCTACCAGTCAAATCGAACTCTTAACCCCCCCCCCCCCCCCCCCCCCCCCCACCTTTCTAAACACCAAGAAAACGAAAACTGAAATTGACAACGCAGCCGCCGAACTAGCGAACTACACAAACCCCTGGTGGTGGTTGTAATGGTGCTCGTGGATGTCGCACTCGTTGAGTTCAAAGCCACCGGAGGAGTCGTGGTGGTTGAGGAGGCGGTGGTGGTTTGGATGATCCACGGGGAGGAATCAAAGCTTTGTCTAGCCGCCATTGAATTCATAGGTGAAGAAAGAAAGAGATCAAGAAAAGCCGATAAGATCATAGTCTCCCAATTGAAATTCTCAATTGTTTATAAAATTAGTGTTTGTTTGTTTGGATTGAGCATTTTTTTTTCCTTCTACCGTGGTGGTGGGCTTAATGACACAAAGGGTCGATTTAATTGTGTATTTAATTGTGTATGGGTTTAAATTGGGTTGGGTAATGGGTTGGATTGGGATTTTGATAATGTGGCGGGTTTTGATGACGTGGCGTGTTGGATATAATTTTTTTATTAAAATAGGCTGATTGGATGATTCTCGTAGCCACGTCAGCAAAAAATTGACGCTGTTAACGGTGCTAACGGAGAGAGACTAAATTTGGATTATTTTATTAATTGTAGTGACTATGAATGAATTTAAACATTTCGAGGAACCAAATATAAACGTTTTTTATAATCTCAGTGACCAACCATGCAATTATCCCAGCAAATACGAGGGTTCTTAACAAATTGGATGTTACCAATCGAAAAACTAGACTATTGTTCTTATCTCCTCACACTAAATTCTGCTTTCGTAAGTCGCGGTTACTCCCACGATCGAATGAGTGAGAAGCTCGTAGCATACAAACTAAGCTAATTAAGAGGTATTGGCAGCCATAATCACGACCTAGATCAATCTTGAGAGGTCAATCTTAATAAACAATAAACACAACAATTACTCTGTTTATGTCATTGGTTCCAGCTGCGCTCCCCCAGCATCGCGACCAGTACTGTCAGGTCCATGAATAAGCAATAAAAACCAAACCTGGCTAGTAAAAGTTAGACGACTGTACGTAGTTAGGACACGAGTCGGCAGCGCAGCCACACTGCAGGCAAGCATTTGGGTTGAAAATTTTGGACCCAATCAGGGCCCTGGATTAGAGTCTCGGAAACCATCACACATGTAGGTGCGTGGTGATATCCCATTTATGGCCATAAGCGGGCGGAGAAGCTAGAGATGGAAGAAACAGAGCGAGATGCAGTTATCGTACCCCAAAAAAAACATAGCGAATCCTTGAGATTTTGGGAGGGCATGCATTATTGCTTCGTGGAT